AAAATCAATCTGTTATTATTAGTTTTCTCCCGTAAAATTTATATATAATGTACGAAAGCAATTCAATTATTGTTACCTAAAATTTTGTTATAAAAGATTTTAAACAAAGGAACCAACATGCAATAATCTTTCACAGTATTTATTTTTATTTTAATGCTATATAATTATATTCTTATAATTTCTCATTTAATCTTTTTATTTCTGTTCCAACCCTAAAATTTATTCTAAACCTTTATAGACTTCATAAATTTATAAATAGAAATCAAGAAACTCTGATTAATTTGGAGACATATTTTTCAACCACTATGTTGCCTTAAATTAAAAAATTACTTACAGATTGATATTTATTTTTTTCATCTTCATTAGGTATCTCTATAAATGCAAATTTATTTTCTTATATTTTTGATTCATCATTATTAGCTATTTGTAGTTTTTTAATTAGTATATCAACCCTTTCCAAAAAATAATTATCTATCAAAAAATTTTATTAACATGATAAAATCTCTATGATGTTATTCTATGTAAATTATTTTTAATCATTAAACATATATTTGCCTTATTTGCTATCTTATTTGCTATCTTATTTGCTATCTTATTATATCTTAATTTATTCATTTTCAATCATTTATTTCAATATTTTTGTTTTCTTTACATTATTACAATTATACTTATGAATTTTATTAACATTCAATCTTAGAGCCACTTATATATTAGATTTATTTTATAGATCATTTTTTTTGACGAATTCATAATTTTACATAATTAGAACAATAATTTATAATTAAAATTAATTATCTGTTCATTTTACATGACTAAGCTTTTGTCGAATCATTTTGAGCTATATTATGTATGATCTAAACAAATATATTTATACTCTTAACTAAGATAACTTTTCAATTATCTTTAATTCTATTATTCAAAATTTTTGCATTTTTATCTAAAATTGTCAAATATACACTATATTATATATAAAATAAAGCAATATATATTTATCAGATAAATTATTTAACCATCATTTTAATCCATAATCAAATATGGTGTAAATTAAGAAAACCCTAATTAATTATTTAAGTATTTATTAAACAAATTAGAAATCTAAAGCCTTTATTTTTATAGTAACTTTCTTATAGGTGTATATATTAGTTTATATATGAAGCCTTTAAAATATTCAATGATAAATATCTAATTAGTTAAAATTTAAAATACTATTCGTACATTAATATGAAATGAATATTTAATAATATGTAATTTATTTATTATCTTAAACTTTAATTTGTATTTATTTTATCAATATTTTGTTCTTCATAACTCATTTAATAATATTTCGAAATTTTATTAAACAAAATTTCTAGTCTTCAATCTTGTTTTATCTTTTCAAGATATGTAATTAATACAATAATTTTTATAATATTGGACCTGCTTTAAATTAGTAAGTCTTCATATTTGTTAAATCCATTTTAGATAAAAAATACAAGATTATAAAAATGGAAATTTTGATAATTATGCATTTTGCAATAATCATAATCAATGTTTAAACATTTTTCCTAGAATGTCACTTATTTTCCCTTCAAAATCACAACTAGGTTCTAAGACCATTTTATGAAAAGAATCTACCCAAGTACTGCCTCCTTGATATGCCTTTTTTAAATTATATAAAATCAAACCTAAAAGGGAGCTCCAAAACAATGGACACATCCTACTATGCAAAGTACACAATTTACAAGTTCAAATCCACAAAATGCCATGAATAAAACAAATAAAACTTTCCAAAGTGTACTTCCTATGCCTTTAAAGACTAAAAAAGATTACAAAAACTGATACTTTTTGATGTTATATCACATGTTCTAGCACAATTATGTAAAAATGAGTAGTAACTGAACCACTATGGACAACAAAGAATGCACATTACAATTTTGATAGGCTAGTTGAAATAATAGATAGCAATACATCTGCCATTATAATATATTAGTTTTTATTAAGATTTTATTATTAGTTTATTTTTCATTTTTTACCAATAATATATTATTTATTTAAATAAATTTATATTTGAGAAGTATTAAATTTCAGTAATATAATTTTGAGCAAATAAATGCTTAAAAAAAATAATAATATGATGAACAAATCAAAAAAACATCAATCACATTAAAGAGCTACATCTTTAGAATAAAGTATTTCATCATTTTTGATTTCTGTAAATTGTTTAGTAATAGAAACAATTCCTTTTTATTTCATGCCTAATTATTTTAAAATTTTATCATTTGCATATACTAAAGGTGTACAATTAAATTAATTAACAATATTTAAACTTCCACCATTATTTAATAATAAATAAATGACCTAAAATAAATAAATTAAATTACATCTATTCTATTTGATTTGACTGCCATATGCATAGGTGTTCCATCACTACATAATACATTTGGATTAGCTCCATGTTTTAACATAAAATCAATTAGAATATTATTTCCATGCATTGAAGCATAATATAAAGCTGTATTTCCATCTTAATCCATTACATCTATATCATCTTATGTATAATAAAATCCTGATTTTAGAATATGATTAGGTTAATTCAACTTTGAATATCTGAGAAGTCTTTCATGTTTTACAAGAAGTACTTTAATTTTAGATAAATTTTAAGTTGTTACTAATCTACCTTATCTTCCAAATCCAATTGATGATGGTTCTGCAGTCTCTTCAGTTTTTAATTTAGTTTTCATAGATTTTGTTAATGAAATTTCAGATTTAACTCTGTTTGATGATGTTTTAATTCTGATTTAAGGTTAATTAATTAATTATAATGTGATTTCCTTAACATTACTTTAGAATTCTTTTTCTGAATTAAGTCTAGATAATTTTTCATGATAGATTCTAATTTTCTTTTAAAAAAATAACTCTTTATAATTTTTTAATTTTTTAAATGCTATTCTTTTACGAATAGCCCTCTGAATCATAATAATTGAATTTAATTCTTTTTGAGATAATTTAGGTGGATCATTAGGATTTAGAGGATCAAAAATTGGATCTTATCTAATAGCCTTATTAGGTCCAGAAGAATAAAACTTGACAAAATTTTCTTTTTTATTATTATCTATTGATAATACTCCTAATCTATATTAAATTTCTTTTTGTTTTTGTATTTTAAGTCTTTCAGCTAATTTTTAACCTTCCACACTTTCCCAATCATCAGCAGTCATTCCATGAGTAGGAACAAATCCAACTTTAGAAGAAGGATGATATTTTCTACGTTTATCTTCTTCATGATTATATGGTATTGATAGTTCTTTTAATCTTTGTTTATGAAGTCTAAGTTTTTCTTATTCAGCCAATGTTTCTTTAACAAACATATTACTTTTTTCTAATTTAATAAATCTAAGATATTCAATTTTTTATATTATTTTTCTTACAAAAATTAAGGCAAAGAAATTTCTATATACTTAATCTTTAATTGAGATATTTTCTTCTAATTTTTTACAAATTCTTTAAAGTTTCTTTACTTTTTTATCATGATCTTTTAATATTTTATTATGTTTAATTGATTCTTAGATTTATTAATCATGTGATTTAATTTATTATTTTCTTTATTTTATTTATTCTTTTAACCATAATGATCTTGCTTATTAAATTTAACAATTAAGAGATTAATGATTTTAAATAATTTACTATGCTAGATAATTTTCTAAATCATAAAGTTATTTTTCTTTAATATGCATGACTACTTTTTTGACTTATTTTTAATCTACACATTTATTCAATAATTCTGATGTATTAGCAAGAAATTTCATTTCTTATGGTGTTAACCAATCTCCATTCATATATTTTTACATTTTTACTTCTCTTTATAAATAAACAGGATCATCTATTTTAACTTAATCAAAAATTTGCATAAAGGCTACTTAATTGTAATTACTTGAATTAATTGCTGAATTATATGTATATTAAGCTTTTAATCTTTCTTTTTGAAATTTAGCTTCTAATATAGGATTCCATTAAAATAAATCTTAATTATTTTAAGAATAAAAATTATTATTTTTTACAATTTATGATGTTTATATAGTCTCTATACCTATTAAATTAACTTTTTTATTTTAACTTATAGCTTCAGCAATTTTAATTTGATTTTCATATTCATTTATTTTTTCCATAAGCATTTCTCTTAATTTTTTTTAGAGTACCTAATATTTACTTTTTAAAGTTAACCATTTAAATAAATCATTTTATTCTTTTCTATTTTTCATTCTAGTTAGTGTAAATTATTTATCTATCAATTATAATTATTTATCTTTTTTTGCAATTTTAAGAATCCATTCATTCATTAATTAATCACATTTCTATTAAAAACTATTAATTAAATAAGTTTATCGTTCTTCTGCTGTTTTCATATTACATAAAGTAACAGCTGATACATTAAATGATTACAAAATCTTTTAAGCAGTTCCAAAATGATCATACATAGGAACTTAATTCTAAAATTTGTGTTTTAATGTATCAATAATTAAACTAGACATAAGTGAATTTTATAAAAACTAAATTACATTATTAAGTATACATCTCCATATCTATTGACTAAAAAGTTTACATCATTTGTTAAAGTTTATGAAGAAGCAGATTATTTCACTTCTTATTTATGAAAATATCGATCCACAAAAAATTTATAAAATTCTTCATTTTTTTGACTTATTTTCTTTTATGGTTTGATTTCTAATTCAATTATTTCATCAACACGAGATTGATTCTCTCCATCATATGATGATTATTCTATCATTTGACTCTCCTTTATTGTTTTCTTTTTATATTGATTTAATGCCAATCTTCTTTATTTACCTTTCTCAACTGTTACTAATTTTATTGTTTCATTTTAAGCTTCATTCAAAAATTCATTAAATCTCTATTCTATTTATTCTTCAGTTTCTAAATCAAATGTTTATAAAGGTCTTGTTGTCATAGGAAACCTTGATTATTACTATACTCTTTATTTTTTCATAATTTAATAATAAAAATCAATTTTGTCTCTTATTGTTGTCTTTAAGTTTTAAATCAGATTTTTTTAAATAAATACTTTAAATTCTTTAAGACAAAGTTCTAACCTATTGAATATCTGGTGATTTATATCTACTAGTTAAAACTATTAGTTTATGATTTACAGGTTTTATTTCTGTTCTATCTGATAAATTTAGATTTAGAAAACCTGTAGCTGCAATTTAACTTATTCTAGATATTCTTGGATAATAAAATTTCTTTGTATCAATTGGTGATAGCTACTGTTAGTGTTGAATAATGGGTTCAGTTTTCAATCTTTTTCCTATCAAAGGACTTTGTATATCTTTTGATATAGAAGTCTTTAAATTTTATGTCTTCTAAGTAAATTCAGATATAGTCTGAGGTGATGATTAAAATACTTATTATTATTATTTGATTGGTTTAGAATTTACTAATTTTGATAAAACACTTTTCACATGTACCATTTAAAGAAGATGATTAAATGGCTTATATTTTATCTTTTTTTTACTCCCATTATTAGCTATATGTCTAAATTTATAAATTATATTTACATAGAAGGATTTGCACTAGATAATATACGATTATCCAAATTTTTAGGAATTTTATCCAAATCTAAATTCTTGAATTTGTTGTCAAGTTGATGTTGATCCTTATCATATTTTAAAAGCAATTTCTTTGAAATCTTACCTCCACAATCACTACAATAGCAACTTGAATTAAGTGCTTTATCTTCAGAGATAATTGGTTTCATTTCTTTAAAAGATGGACTTGGATTCATTTTAGAAGAAGTTCTGGAGAGAGAATAGATTTTATATTAGCCTACTTGTTTGTAAGTTCTTTTACGATATATCTAATTAGGTCTGTGCTAACATTACGATGTTTATGATTAAATATCAAATATATTCATAATTATAAAGTATTTTTAAAAGAATCAAGGCCAAGGCCAAATAATTAATATTTATTTCATCAGACATAAATTATATTTCATCTTTTTTATTTACACTTCAGAAATTATTCTTATTTATGTTTTATATTAATTATATCATATATTTATATATGTAATATCTAATTGCAAATTATTTATGGATTATTTTTATTCACTTTTCTATTAATTTCTTAATTTAATTATTTTATCAAAAATAATTATTAATTAAATTCCATCAACCTCTCTTTTTTATATTTTACTTTTATTTAGATATATATTGATTTGTTTATAATGAAGCCTATAAATATTTATAATTTCAATTATAATTTCTTGTACTTATATCAATTTACAACCTTCTATTTATAGTTTTGCATTTTGATCCAATTACCTTACAATGACATCAATCAGGATAATATATTACACTTAATTAAAAATACATGATTCTAATTATCATTGATTAATAAATATTGAAGAATTTTTATAATATTAAACTTGAATTTCTTATCAAAACAATATTATAAGATGTTAATTAATAAAAAAAGAGATTATTCTAGAAAAAAAGTTTAATTATTTATACATAAAATATTATTTTTTATTTTACAATTTATTTTCTATTTTTAGTTTTGATATAAAATTGAATAAATATATTATATAATTATGTCCTTTTAAATTTCATCAGTAAAATTATAAGGTGATTAAAGCTTTCCTTAATAATATTAGTTAAGAGATTATTAAAATAATTTTGTTAAGTATAATGGTATCAATTATTCTAGAATATATTAAAGAGCACTTAGATTTAGATATATTTGGTATTAAATGCTATTTTAATTTAATAATTTTGTAATCTTATTTAATATAATATGATATTTATAGACACACTATAAAGTCATTTAAGACACTCTTTAGATATAAGATTTGTGTATGCTTATGTTCCTGGCAAACCTTCATCCATAATTTTAATATATAAATTTTCTTTGCTAAGTTCAAATTGGGGTTCTAGTTTATCTCTCAATAATTCTTCAACTTATTTAGATTGATTAAGAATTGATTTGGTATCTTTCTTAATAAGTGCTTTACCAAGTTAGGATAATCTATATAGTTTACTCTTAATATAAGCATATTGCAATTCAAAATGATCTTCTAACATCTTATAATTTCTTTTAATTCTGTCTGGAGTAACACTTAGAATTTATGGATTATAATTGACTTCTAAGACCCATACATCTAAATTATCATCAAGTAAAAAATCAACAGCAAAGAATTCACCAAATCTATATTTAGAAATAATTAATACGTGCTATCTCTTGCAAATGAATGATAGGTAGCTTTGGTCATATGAATTAAAGATCTATGAATTTTAGGATAAAGATAAGATTAAAGCCATCCTTTCTTAGCTCTACCCTATTTAATTAATAAATCTTCTAGTCCCTCCAAATACCAATCAATAAAGAATTCTTCATCTTCAATTTCATCATCATCTTTATCTGTTTTCACTAAATTTTTGACAATTGCTGTATTACAAACATGAGCTCCTTTTTCAGTAGAATGAACACTAAATGGTTTTGCACATCTTTTAATTAAAGCTCTTATGTAAGAATAAGAATAATAATTATACCTTGAATATGAATATGCAATAACTGGTTTAGTTGATACAATTGTATAATAGATTCTAAACTCAATCTTATGTCCTTTATATAAAAATGGATTCGATATATATCTTTGAGCAATTACTTACTTTGAAATATTTCCACATTCTTATCCATGATCATATTCATCTAATAATTCCATTGTTTCATTTTCAAATAAAACTGTAATTCCTTCTCCTCTATGTTAATTAGTTTTCAATATATATTATGGCCCATACTTTTTGAATCTCTTCTAATAATCAGTTGTTTTGAATGTTTCAAAAAATGCCTTGCAATCATCTTCATCATTTAATCTATATGTCTCAGGTATAAATGATGCATTCCTTTTACATTCTGGATTTGTAATGTTCTTCTTTTCAAAATCTCTAGTATATCTCATAAAATTATCAATCAATTAGTTTTTCATTGCTACAGAACTCTTTCCTGGTATATGACTATATTTTTATAATACACATCCTAATCCCTTACCCCAAACATAATTGTTAAATAAGGTAGAGACAGTTGTATAAATGAATCCAAGTTAAAGTGGTAATTAATTTTCATATTTATATGAGGCAATTTTAGATGGACTTACTTTATCTAATACAGCATATGTTCTATCTAAGGTTATCTTTTTTGGTAAATTTGAAGGTGGATAGTCTCTCCATACATAGTAATCTTATAATACTATATCAGGATGAGCCATTTTGTATGAGTCACTCTTTTTACAATACACAGGAGATTCAGCTACATTGTAACGTGATTGCTAAGTATTACAACATATTGATTTACATTATATTCAGGCTTAAATGCTGAATTCTTAACAAAAGTTGATTTTCGAATCTAATATACTTCTCCAAAGATATTTTCCCAAAAGTTTCTTATTTATTATTCCTAATTTTGTAATGCCTTTGAATTTGAATACAACAACACTATAATGAAAGGTGCCAATATTCCTTTAATTATTAATGCAATTATCATTAAATTTAATTAATTTGTTATTTGATATACAAAACAATACCAAAAAAACGAATCCAAATTCATATGCTTCCTTTTAATTGTTATATTCATATTGATTAATATTTTTGCTATTTAAAAATTTAATTGCCATCAAAGATATTTTAATAATTAATACAATTTATGGACTCTAATTTTCTTGAAGATGAATAATTCAATAACAACACATGGGATGAATACTCTGATTAAATGATTTGTCCCTCACCTCTTTTGCTTGGGCATCCTTAAATTAAAAAGTTCAATGATGAAGACGAACTTTCTCTCATTCATCTCTAATATCATACTGATACATTAGATGATGATTAAAGTCAATTTAATTAACCTTCTCAAACTAATTAAACTACTATCAAAAAGAGAATTCAAAAAATTCATAAAGGAACCTCAATTAAAAAAAATAAGAATCAATCTTCAATAAATAAAGCACTTAATGACTTTATTTCTTATGTTAATCTTTCAGAAGATAATACTTCAAAATAAATTCATTATTGTAAATAAATGAAGCTACTTATTGACAATCTTGAAGGAATCCTTTCCACAATCAAATATAAAATTTTGGGCTAGTATCAAAATTAGATAAATTAGGAAAATTGATCTTATTCCTTTTTCAATCAATTTATATATCTTTCTAATCATATTTATATCTTTTTAAGTTTTTACTTTAATTACCATCAGTACTAATCTCAAAAATTAAAATAATATATATTTATTTGTTATAATAATACAAGTAATTTATTTAGACTCTCTTATTATACATTTCTTCGAATTAATATAAGTGCTGCAAATTTAATATAAGTTTTAATAAAAAATTTATACATAATTAAAGAACATTTTCTCTAATTATTTGTTAATTATGGAATAAAATTTAATAAATTTAGAATAAAATTCTTTTTTTCAATAAAATACTTTCTAATGGTTTTATTAATGCTTTTACTTTTAATCGTGAATAATTACTTTTCTAATAAATGCTATTCTCAATTATCACTAATTCATTTTATTTAGATCAAATTAGAGTTATTATAATTAAATAATGACGTCATTATATTACCAGATTACACGTTTTATAAACATTAAATCGGAAAGGGTTCATATAAATTATTTTTATTTACTAAATCTAACAATGTGAGTTCTTGAAAATCATTATTCAATAGGTTCAAATCATTAATTATGAATTTCAAAATATATTATTACTAATCTTTTTTTTAACATCTATTTTATTATATGAATTATTATCATATCATAATTTTGAACTTAAAAAGTTTTCTCAAGAACAAATATTAAATATCTTTTTGAAATAATTATAATATTGTTTAATATACTCTTAAATGGACATAAGTGGATACCTATATGACAATTTACCATAATTATTAGAAAATCAAGAGGAATTCTAAGATGAATGTCCTCAATTCATATCTAAATTGAATTACAATAAATCCTTATTTAGAATTTAAAGTCCTGAACCTTCTATTTAAGGAGATTGTTTAACTAATGGAAACGATTAATCATATGAAATTGCTTTAGGGGAATTAAAATTTCAAACAGAAGAAAAAAATGGAAATTCATAATAATAATTAATAGGTCCTTCAAAGAAAACTTCAAAGGCTAAGAAACTTGACAATAAGAGAAAAAAAAAAAATAGACCTTTATCAGAAGAAGAATTTGTAGACATAATGAAAAAGTTGGAATAATGTCAGTATGTGATTGGGATGATAGATAACATGGTTATGATATTGAATGGATTTAAAAGCTAGTTACAATAATAGACTATGGATAGAACTTAATGATAATAATGTTTTATTTATTTTCAATATCACCGATAATTTTGCTGTCTTCAAGACAGTTAAAACCCATTGAAAGGGCAATATGATTAATCAATTAAATTATAAACGATATCAATATTTATCAAATGAACATGAAAATGATTTTTAAAAGACCATAAATGATTATGGACACTATAAATAAATTAATCGGTGATGCAAATCTTCTGGGCCATTGAGTTTATGGGAATTCATTTTAAGGTATCCCTTTTAGTTTATCCAATCCTAAACTAATATACCACATAATAATAAAAAAAACATAAATTTCGAAATCTCTTAAGGGGGCTTTCCACTCATTGATAACACTAACTATATAAATTTGATATTTACATTCTAGATTTAGATAATCTACCAAGACTTTTGTATGGACTCACATTTTTGATTGGATTCACATTAA